AAACAGTTCTGCTTGTCAGATATGCAGCTACAACACAAAGCAGCAGAGACTATGTGACAGTCTCTACCAGAGACTGTATTCCTGTTGCACTCTGGTTTTCTTACTCTTTCTACTTTCATTTTAAGTGATAATAATGAAGAAAAAAAAAGTAGTTGCAGATTGTTCCCCTTGGTTGGGGAAATTCCCTGGCTGCGTTGCTCCGTGCTGAGATATGCCGCGTTTCAGTCTGAGAAGTAGGAATTGTACCCAAATACTGTCAGTTAAGGGTGGGAACAGGAGCGATCGGAGTAAAAAAACTGACAGGAAGGAAAGAAGATGTAAAGATGAAAAGCAGTAGCGTGCTGCTGAAGTTGTCAGGGGATGGAAGATTAGAAAGAGGCAGTCATTTCTTCTTATCTGTAATATGTAAAGACATTTTACAATGGAAAAGGAGTGAAACAAAGTCCTCTGGATTTATGATGCTCGCCATTCTCCCGTTCTTTGAGAGGAATGATTAAAGTTAGAACGAGTGTTACTAGCAGGAGTAGGCAGGCAAAACATTAAACGTTGCCACATTCCTCATAGTTCAAACTTAGTGCCAGTCATATTTAGCTGTTATCTGCTAGAGCCTGTGCTTGTTATATTTGAACCCATAAATGAAAGTGGGTTCAAACAGGCATCTCAGCAGCTTTAGTGCGAGGTGACTTGCTGTGATTGTTTGCACACATGTATCTGTATCTGGCATGCACCTCCAGCTGTCAGAAGCAACAACTAACAGCTGTCTTTCCCCACAGAGCAGCTCGAATGAATGTAAAGAACCTGCATCTTTAGCACAGAAATGAACAAAGGCAAAACTCTGTCCTATTTTTAAAAAGGCCATCAAGTGACAAAAATGCAGGGTTGCTTTCAAGCACACCGACAGGTGATAAAGAGAGGTGATTGGTTCAACAGTTGATCGTTATGAAATGTATCCACCAAATCCAAAGGTCACACTGTGTGACAGGCATTGATATTGCAGTGTGGGTACGCCCCGTTCTCTTAATTTCACGATTTTATTAAAAGTAATTGTTATCCAATCTCTACTGACCTATATCATTGTCAAGTTAGTTGTTGACATGGCCAAGATATTTCCCCCCTGAAAAGAACCAGAACAGATTGAAATGCAGTAATGATGTCTGACTCATGGGCTTCGTCTCTTCACGTCCCGTTTGAGGCCCCTGTGAAGAGGGTCCATACAATTGTGCATTTTGTTCTCATCTGCAAGATCCAGGGCCAGCAGTGCTGAGTCACAGAGGGCCTCAGCAAACCCCCGCAGGTTCATTTCCGTAGGCTTCTTTATCTCATCCTCTCTCCCCTTCCAAATCCTTTAGAACAGGTGAAATGAGAGGTGGATTTTCATGGAACCTGATCTGTGCAACTCCGCCCACTTTTCCTCGCTGTGAAACTCAAACAAGAAAGAAAAAAAGCAAAGCAAAGCAGGGCAGTTCTTTTCTGAGAACAAGCCTTTGTGCTTGTTCCCTTCAGTTCCCTCTGACTACAAAACACACCTCTGTGCCCTCTCAATCACACGGGACAGAGGATAGCGAGGGAACACTAAGCTTCCTGTGCGGCTCACACTAGCCTGTAAAGCTGTTTGCGTGCAACTCCACCTCATTTTATTTTCTTTAAGTTGATTCTGACTGCCCTTTGTATCTATGATACAAAATCTGAACAATAAAGCATCTTCGACTGAAATGAAAGCAGCGAGGAACTCCCATAGTAGAGCAAAATTTTGAGAGTTGTGGTGTTATTAAACTTTGGGAACACTATAAAGTCCTTTAATAGTTCCTCATGTGCCATTACGTTTTCTTTCAGGAATGAGCGTGCTCGGTGGATCAGTGCTCTGAACAATAATGACAACAATAAGAAGACTCAGGACCGAACCAGTGAGTTTCCACAACACATAATTCACATGGACGCTCTGTCCTGACTTCTCTATTTAGCCTGTTGCGCCACCTTGTGGTTATGAGTTGAAACAGTTTCCTCATGCTGAGTTGGTTGAAATTAGCCTGTCAAAAGATATTTAAAGTGCCAGTGTGACTTCTCTAAAATGATTCGGATGTGCTCTTTCAGATCTCATGCAGGTGGAGATGATCAGAACTTACACCGCCAGGCAGCCAGACGAGTTGTCTCTGCAGGTGGCTGATGTGGTGCTTGTCTGGCAGACTGTAGAAGATGGTATGTCAGCTCTCTCTGCCTCCCTCATATCTTCATATATCCTCACTCATACTCTTTAATATTCCTCTCATTTTCCACCTTCCTGTTTCAACGGTTTCCTTTCATCATTTACTTTTACATACTCTCCATCTCTCTTTCAAAGTCTGCATTTACTTTTTCCACATAATGGATCTGATACCTGTTTGAAGATGTGGTTTCACATCTGTGCAAACACATGGAAGCCTTTTTCACATTAAATAACAGACAGAACCAAAAAAAGAAGAGCCAGTAAAAGCATAAAGTACCACACAACACATTCTTCTGTTTTCATTTAAAGCCAGTTTCTCTTCTTAGGCTGGTACGAAGGCGAGCGGCTGCGTGACGGAGAGAGGGGATGGTTTCTAAGCGAGTGTGCTGAACCAATTACATGCCAGGCCACTATTGAACGCAACATGCAGAGAATGGACCGCCTGCAGGGCCTTGAGACTAATGTGTGACAGGACGATGAGCGGACTGCTTAACCTACATGGGGCTTTTCCCTGGCCATTAGTGAACCCTCAACACACCAATGACCTGCCTTTTTAAGCACTGAACTCAGACGAATGAGTTCAATAACCACACCACTGACCTGTCTCCAGGGGACAACTGGACATCTATGAGAGCCTTGCGGCTGCTAGGCCCTCACAGTGGAATAAAGATGGGAGCCACAATCATCAATAAATATCAGCCACACTGTCTAAGTTTCAAAGGAAAGACTAAAAACAAACACGTGGAAGACGGATTTCCCTAATAACTGATTTGTCTCTGTGCAGGTGGGACATTTTGACAGTGGGATCTGTCACACTGATTAATTCCCTAGCCTGGTTAGTAAAACTTCACACCCACAGCCAAAGTCACTGCTTTTTTAGCACCCTACCACACAGCAATAGCTGGTATGAAATCTGTAAATGCTTTTTTTTTGTTGTTGTTCATTTACAAAGAATACGCTTTATAATGTGCAATTAAAATGAGAGTACAGTAATACTGTAAGAGGTAAAACAGGCTAAATTGTGTGAAACTAACAACAGCCTGGCATGCGCTCTGTTAATGAGGCTTCTCAGGCCATGTGATTGAAGCTTTGCCAGCATCTTGTTGATTGTGAAAGTGATAATAAGGAAGGAGGGTGTGATTGGCAGCTTATGTAAAGTGTGTGGGTTAATGTGGAAACTCCTGTGAGTGTTTAATCAGCCTCTGATGGCATGTGAAACTATGACAATATTTGCAACAGAATACAAAGTGGTGTACGTTGAGCTGCAAAAGAGAGACGGGCTATTTGTCTGAAGCTTAAGGCACTTTGTGTAAATAGCAGAATCCATTTTCTTTTTTTTTTTCTGGATTATATTGAAAACAAAGTAAACTGTATATAATCTCCTCTCTCTTATGGGTTAAGTGCATAACAGAAGGTAGTCTGTCTACCCTCTTGTCTCCTGTTAATGCCACCATCATGAATCAATGATTCATTCATGTCACAAATATTATTAGACGCTCCATTCACTCAATGATTTTGATTGTTTGAAATATTTTACAAGCACAAATACACAAGATCGGTCTCAGACACAGGTATATGCAGCAGCCAGCTACAACTTTAAAATCATCTTGAGCTGTCTGTGGCATTCATATAGGTGTTGCTTTGACACATACTTAAACTGCCCAAAGAGTAGTTTAAGTACCGTATGTGGTATAACACAGTATTAGACAGGTGGCTTTAATGGCGTGGACTGGCACTGATATTGGGTGTACACCCTCCCACCCCTTCATATTTATTGTGTTATAGAAGGATGGTAAAATTAATTTTGTGTGCTGATGGCAAGATCGGAAGATAGAGAACAGCCCTGCTCTTAATGGTATTGCCCAGCATGAGTCATCTTTTTAGTGTTGCCCAGCTAAAGAAGAAAAATGACTTGGTCAAAGGATGAAGATAACACCATCTATCAAGCCAACTGCTCTGGACTCAGTCCAAATGACAACCATAACTGTTGAGCCACACGAACCAAGCTATGGCGGTCGGCAGTGCTGCCATGAGGAAGGACACAAGTATCCAGACTTTCAAAGAGAACAGCTTTGCATTTGCTCTCAGGGAACATTAGCTTTGGCACCACACACATAAGCATGAGCCGGTCTTGTTTAAGTCATTTCCTCTCTTGTATCTAGTGTAAATTACCTTTGTACATGTAAATATGTAAAACGGCTTAAAATGTGTAATGTATGTTTTCGTAAATACAGATTATATTGAAGCAACTTGCTTATTCAGCCTTCTATATTTTTAATCAGCAACTCCTAATAAAAGCTGAATTGCCCATCATTTAGTCTGATCAATTACTTTTTTTTTTTTTTTTTTTAACATCAGCAGAGACCACTCTAGGAATAAAACTTGGGACAATAAATTAGACATTCTTTCTGAACATTTAATGAAGGATAATCAGATAAATCCTCTGGACATTTGCACCTTTCTCAGATTGGAGCTATTAAATCGAGGGTGTGAAATATCATATTACCCACATGATCTTAAAGCTCAGAACAAATTATGTTCTCTCATCGTAAAACCAGCAATATTTGAGATTTTCCACATGTCAGCCCGGCAAGGCGGATGAAGTTAAGCAGCATGATGGTACACCTTCTCTTTATTGCACAGGCCTGTGGCAATAGGTGAAAATAAACTTATCCAAACAAGAGGTTCACTAACAAGATAAAGTTACAGAAAGAATTCAAAGAAAGACTGGTCCTTTGATCTAAGAGGCGAAAAAAAAATTATGGGAATCAAATGCAGGCCTTTTTTTTTGCCTTTCTTTTTAATAGCAGTGGCCTGTATTTGGCCTTCAGGAGCAGCAAAATTTCAATCAAGCAGAACCATCAAGAAGACCAGCTGGTTATCATAAATAATCCAACTAGACCCTGTGTCCAAGGACGCAGGCAGTAACTTCATGGCATCTTCTTTTCAGAGACAGCCAAATCTCTATCCACTTTTAATCATCGTCATCATCTTCGTCATTGAAGTAAACGTGCTCTCCTCTTGGGGCCGACGCCCACGTTCTGCCATAGCCCCTACTGCTGCCTGTGGGCTTCTCCTGGGTCGTGATGAGGTCTATGATGGCTGTGATCACAGCACAGTCTTTGGATTGACGGTTTTGCCAGTCTACAGGAGCAGGATTACAAATTTTGTCCTGCAGCAGAGAATCCAGCTCTTTCTTTAAACTCTGCAGGACAGACAGGAAGGAGAGATTAATACAAAAGAAATTTCAAAAAGACAGATGTGTTGTTGATGTGCATGTGTGTGTCGTTTACCTTAACAAGGTGAGCAATGCGTGCAGGGGATCTAAAGACAATCCACTGGTCCACTGCGATGGTTTCCTGGTCCTCGTCTTTTTGGATGGTAATGTCTCCTCCAAAGAACAGCAGTGAGAATGGTGACACCTCAGTGCAGTCGTATAGAAAGATCTGAGGGAGCACAGAGATATCAGTAACGCGCGACGACAGGGCCATTACAACAAACACGTCAACACATTTGGTGACAGAGAGCAGCATCATTACGGCACACCCTGCCTGACAGCTATTCTGTGGTGTGGGCTGAAAGTGTCCCATTAGTAAGGAGAGGCTGTGGAGTTTGAAATGTGTTTCAAGAGAAATGTCATCTTGACCCATCTGTGACTTTAACTTATGTATTACACCTCATCCATTTTTCTTCTGTTTGAAGGAGACTGATTAATGATTAGGGATGGCACCGGTTCTGACATAAACGTTAGTAACCAGACCGAAAAGCAGCGCACATTTCGGTGCTTTTTGTTTCCTGAGATGTCACACACTTTGGATTCTAGCCAATCATTTTACCTTTCCAAGGATAGTAGGCGAGCCCAGGTACGTACGTTCTTTTAGAGCAGAGCTACAGATTAAAAAATGTTTGATAGAGTGATATATATGCCCGATAGCTGCAAAAAAGGCTAAAATTGTTATCTTTTTACAAAACAAAACAAAACAAAAAACAGCTAAACATGAGGGGTTTTTGGACAAAGTTTATGTTTTCCGTTGTTTAATCACTGGTTCCAACCAAAGGAGGTATGCTGTATCAACAGAAAAGGCTAACTTGGTTATCATTTTGCAGAAAAAAAAAGAGACTTCTAAAAATAAAAACATGAGAGGTTTTTGGACAAAGTTTGTGTTCTCTATTCTTTAAGCATCGGTTCGAGCACTGTTTAAGCACCGGCACCGTTTCAAAAGTACCGGTTTGGCACCGGTATCGGATAAAACCTAAACGATACCCATTCCTACTAATGATAATGCAAATTATTATTTTTTTAGTTATTTATAGTTAAATTCTAAAGACTGCTGGCAGAAAAAGGTGTCATATATAGGTGCACTATAAATCACTCTGTGGGTACACACTAACAAAAAACTCCTTTGCTCTCAGGTCAAAAGTCAAAGACGCGGGATAAACAGCAAACAAAAACTATTTCAGCTTTGAAGGTTGAAGACCATAGTATTAAAAGGGAGAAGTAGAAAAAGATGGAGAGAGAAGAGAGAAGAAAAAGAGAAAAAAAGCGAGGAGACAGCAGAGACGACTGCATTTACTCCATGAATGTGTAATGTTATGTCTCACCGAGGGCAAGTGCGTCAGAGAAGATAAAGTCTGGACGTCATCCTTCAGTTTTATTCTTTTTTGTCCTATCTACAGCCCTGGACTTCTGCTTTCTTCTCAGGGTAAACAAATAACCTTGAAAATCTCGCACTCTCAGAATACCTTATTTTTACCATGTCATTGTGCTCAAAACCACTTACATGCGACAAGAAAAAAAAAATCATTTAATGGCAACAATAATGACAGTGAAATGCAGCAAATCATTTATTTTCCCTTAAAGACAAAGAGAAAAAGCACAGGCGGCCATCAGAGAGGACATAAAAGGTGTTTTCCTGCAGAATAGAAACATTCACAAAAAGAGAGCACAGAAAGAACAAAGACAAAGAGATGCAAGGGAGGGGAAACGGGTGTGAAGAGGGGAAGGAAAAAAAGAGAGAATATAGAAAAAGGCAGCAGTCAGCAAACAACACTGACTGTTTTGCACCCCACCACCAACTACTACATTGTATCTGGAAGCTTTGAAGCACAAGAGCCTTTGAGAGGGACTTGAAAGGCAGTGTTTTAATCAAATATTCATTAAGTGCAAAGCTGGTGTGGCACCACTGCCAACCTTTAACCACTGGCCCTCTTTTCCACTCATATGCACCATTCGAGGGACACATGCAAACTCAAGAAGACACAAAGCAACACAGACTCAAATGTAAAAATAAATAAATAACATTTACAGAACAATATAACATTTACTAGGAGAGATAGATTACTCCACTATGTGAGATACTCACACTACTTGTTCTCATCTTTAGGTGATAGATAAGCCAAGTATAGTTGAATTCCGTCTCTTCGGCATTGACAGATTTTGGGTGGATACACACTTTTCCGTCAGCCTGAGTGTACACTTTGACACTGCAAAAGATCAGATGTGAGTGAGTCTAAGTGTGTGTTTTATAGAGCTGGGAATATTCACATTCTTCATACTTTACAACATATTTTTTATTAAAATTGTCATCTTAATAAATGATGAAAAAAAGACAATTTATCACAGCAGAAGATGGAAAACAGTTAAAAAAAAAAAAAAAGAAGAAATTGCAACAGTTATGAACCCCCCCCCTTTGATTACATTTTTATAGACAAATTCTTCCAAAAGTTTGGATAGAAATAACGATTATATGCAAACACTACAATCTGGTGTGATCTCTGAGGCAGAGATGAGCAGTGGAATACCAAGGACTAGCAAACTAACAGCTCACGACTGCGCTGTCAATGTCCATCAATTATTTTTCTTATCTCAGTTGTATATATACACCACAGTAAAAAAGAAAGTACACCTTTCAAGGTCTTATGTATCAGGACATATAAAATGATACATACAATGTAAAATAATGCAGAGAATATATCTGGTCCATCTCTTGATTCTAAAATTATTTAAATGAAACCTCAGATGAACAACCAACACATGACTTTTTACACTTATTGTTATTTACTGAACAAAAATCTGTCCAAAATGCAGAAACAGCGTGTCAAAACCTAAGTATTTCTATAAGAATTAAGGAGGCAAGTAGGAACCAGGTACTCCTAATCAAATGTGACTGATTAACTGATCATTAAGTGTGAACACCGCTACATAAGTGTTTGCAGTTTGTTGGTCTGTGTTAAAACAATAAAACGGTGGAAAGAAATCAGCAATGATCTAAGAGTCCAGCATTCCACAGTAAATTATTCAGTGGAAAATATTCGAGACATGTTATACGCCCTGACAAACTCACCCCGAGGTCATGCACATGACCTTGAAATGCACAGAGGAAGTGAAAAAAAAAAATCAAACTCCTCCACCTCAAACTCTACCAGCCTCAGATAGTATGTCAAATGTTAAAGTTAATGAGAGTACAATTAGAAAAACACTAATTTTCTAAAATTAGTGGAGAGTCGTGTATCGCTTGCTTGTTGGCTTGTTTGGGTTGCCAGGAAAAAGTAATATAGTATAATTTTTGCTAAAATAACTCAGAATTGAGCTGTTCAAGAGCTAAATTCTATCAGGTGTTTTTTGGCTTTTTAATCCAACGTATGCAGAATGCTGAAAGTAACACTGTGTTTCACACACCAGTATGTTGGCCAAAGAAAACCAACTGTTTCACTACAGGGAACAAGCTGTTTGAAACGGAAAACAACAAACAGTGCTTAATCAAGCACTGAATTCATTAAGTGGAGAGCCGTGGTGCGGACATAAACATTTAAAAACTTGCTTGGTGTTACGAATTACTTATACAAAGGAAATGACCCTGGGAAATGACTGTGCACCTAGGTCTAAAGCTGTCAACGAGATAAACAATAAAAGTGACAGCCTGCTGTGAAAGAGTCTGTGCCCCTGTTGTGCGTGTCTGTCTTTTGCACGCAGGTCACAGCCACCGCTTATGACAGCTGCCTTTGGGCAATTTTATGATGACTGCATTGATCTTGAGCTGCAAAAGTGCCTTTGTTTTTGACAATCATCCAAACGTGGCCTCTGCACAGCCTGGGGTAATTGTCACAGTGCCCTTACAGAGCACTCTTACCAGGACGTATGATGAGATATTGCAGTGTGAAGGCTATTTTTCTCTCTGGAGATCAATAAGACTGATTGTGCACCTCTCTATCTTGGCCTGTGCAGCCCTTTCCTGTCTGTCATTGCTCATCTCCTCCTTTGGATTAGCAAACTTACCCTGGCCTCTTTTTGCTGTGAGATGGTCTGATCATGGCCACCTTAGGGTACAGACCTGCTACAATCACTGCCTTGATTAATTTTTCATTGCCTGAGGGGGAAAAAAGTGACAGATAAAGAACAAATGAAAAAGAAAATATTAAACTTAAATGCTTCATATCATACTTTGTTACTGCTTCACAGCCCAGATATCATGACCAGTTAAAAAACAACAAACAAACAGAAAAACTTCTTACTTACCCGAGTTGACATTAGATTTGGGGTCTTTGGGATCGTTGCTGCTGACAAAGCCTGCATGCATGAGATGTTCGGCAAACTGACCCTTCATGTTTTGCAGCATCTGAATGATGAAAGGACAAGTTGCTTCTAATAATACAGCACACCTTTGACTTCACAGAAAGAAGTCCATATTTAAAATATAGTCACGCAGAATCATCCCGACTCACCTGGAGTGTGTTGGCAGACAGGAAGTTGTCCCAGCAGTATTCCCTTTCATACCTGCCTCCACGCTGCTTTGCATCCTCCCAGCCCTGGGTAAATCAATGCATGATAAATTAAGATAGGATCAATTCATACAGCAGACACATCTGTGAGTACAAAATCAGGAGTCACCCATGTGGGCTGTTCTACCTGGAAAGCATTGACAATAGTGAGGTGGTCACTCTTCGAGTTTCTAGAGAGGGCCTTCCGCCTCATGTCTGCCATCTTCTCTTTACCCTAAGACAAACAGATACGTAAAAAAAACAAAAACAAAATGCACACACACACAAGTTCAAAGATAGTATACAGCGTAAGCTTTCATAAGCTGTCTGTGAACTCAGCTCTACCTACCAGGGGTATGAAAAAAGGGTCTTTGAAGCTGAGGGAAGCAGCAATAGTGAGTACAGGGTCAAGGCAGCCCAACAGAGCTCCAAACAGGATGAGCTTGCCAATGTGAGGTTCCACAGGCAGGCGAGCCAGGTGGAAACCCAATGCTGTAAGATTCTCTCTTTGGTCCAGGGCGTTCTGACAAAACAATGTCATCATATCCATAAGAAAGGGCATTCAGAAACATGTGCATAATAACTATCCCACAATTTTATTTTATTTTAACAAGTTTAACCTCATTAGCCTGAAAGCTCATTTTCATCTGGGTAAATACTAATTTCTCAGTTTGCTGCTGCAACACAAGTTACTGAATTTGTAAGGGCTTTTTAGTTAGTTACTAATATATTAAGTTACTAGTATATTATGTAATCTTTGGTCACAGCCCAGCATGCAATTGATACTCTGCTTCGTAACAATCTCTTAAAAACCCTTTTAGTTACTTTCTTACCAGTTCTGTGAGATTCTTGATGGCGAGGCTGACAGCCTTTTCAGTGGGACGGTCCAAGGCTTTCTCCAGGAATCGACCTATAGACCCAAGCTTCAGTATCTAGGGAGTGTATGTGATATTTTGCTTTGATCAGCACAAGCATGTCATAATTTTTTCCACATAATTCCCTTTACTTAATCAGGTGGGCTGTTAACTATGGAAAACATTGATTTATAGACACACAGTACTGTGGAAAAGTCTTGAGCCACTCCCCATTTCTTCATATTTTGACATTCGGTATGACCACTTTTGTTCTTCAAAACAGCCTGAACTCTCTTGTGCAGCTTTCTTATTATTTCTTTAAATAATCTTCAGGAATATTTCTCCAGGCCTCTTGATGGACGTTCAAAGCTCTTCTTTAGATGTTGGCTGTCCTCCGCTCTGTTCTCTGTCAAGATGATCCCACACTGCATCAATAATGTTAAGATCTGGGCTCTGAGAAGGCCAATCCATGACTAATAGTGTTCCACTGTGTGTTTTTCAATCAAGGTACGCTTTTACTGCACTGGCAGTGTATTTGGGATGGCTGTCATAATGAAACATGCCAATCAGATGCTTTCCAGATGGTACTTCATGGTGGATCAGAGTATGACTGTGTTTTTCTGTGTTCATAATTTGGGCAATGTTGATAATACCTCTATTACCACTGGCTGAGATTCAGCTACAAAACATGACCGAGCCTTCACTGTGTTTTACAAATGGAGGCACTACCTGTTGCTCCTCTCTCCTGCCCACCTCTGTACATACTGACACCAGTTTTAACCAAAAATGACAAATTTGGACTCCTCACCTCAGTTCTTATGTAATTTGGCATACCTCAGCCTTTTCTAACTCTTCTCTTCCTTATGAATGGCTTCTTGAAAGCCACCTGTCCTCTGAGACCATTTCTGATGAGGCTTCAGTGAACAGTAGATAAATCAAAAGGTCAGATCTACCTTTCAGGTCCTGTGTCAGGTCTTTGCAGGACTTTTTTGTACTTCTCTTCATTACTTTGAGGTGTTCATCTGCTGTAGACAGTTTTTCTTCTGCCACTTCTCTTTTTGAGAACACACTGCACATACTGAGTTATGCAAATATTTCAGTTAATAACTAATATACCTCAGAAATATTATTTTAAGTCTTTCAAAATTATGAGTTTTAATGACAGTCAGATAATAAAAAAGTGCCTAAAGTACTTTTTGAAACTGATTAAGTTATTTGTTATGTGTAGACAACACTGGTTTATCCCTTAAGTTAGGTGCCTTTTAACAAAAACCCCCAAAACAAAAACCTTAATTAATTATACGCCAGTGCTAAGTGACTTAATAGACAAAGCGGAAACCCCCCCCCCAAAACAAACAAGAAAAAGTTCCTCAATGTTTAAAGGAAAACTTTAAAAGACCTAAAAGCCTGGAGAACTACTACTAAAGACTGCTTTAAAATTACAAGAAAGTCTGACTTATTGGAGGCAAAAGATAAAGAAATAAGGGATCACTCAAGACATTTTCACAGTACTATAGATATAGTAAGATCAAGTACAGTTAGCTTTGAATGACTTGCTCATATTGCTTTTTGTGACAGAACAACAAAGATGTTAGTGCTTACTTCTAATCTTAACTAACGCAATTCACTGAATGCTACGCGAAATGAATGTGATCACATGGTTTGGTTTGGCTAAATGCACGTTCATTTCCACATTCAAAAGGAACATTTACTTGTGGCTAACTGCAGAGCAATGAAACAGCCACATCTCTATGTCTGACTAACAATGTGATGTTGAAGTGTTTATGCATTAGAGAGCCAGGTCAAGGTTAGCATGTTGTCAGTGTTTGTCTCACTTTAAGGACTGTCTGATGCATTGTGCAACTCTCACCCACTAGCTTCAAAAACCATATCACACACATACTCAAATACATCCAGCACAGAGTGGGGGAGACACACTAAAATGCATATCCAATACAGCAACTGGTGAGAACAATCACAGCAAACACTACATCTAAATGACCTTTGGCTTAATTTTCCATTAGCACTGTTTAAAATATGTCTGAGTGGAGCGTGAGGATTTCAAAAGAGAAAGCGAAAAAAAAAAAAGGTAAGCAACCAAAGAAGAAAAAGACTGTTTATATAAGAGAAAAAAAATGTGTAGAAAAGTAATTATACTGTCTGTAAAAAATGAGAGTAAGAGCGGGAGAGGGCATGAGTCAGCCCGGGATGCTCATCCCCAGTTCTCATTAGACAGGAGAGGCTGTAATTCAGCACAACACCAAAAACAGCAGCGCTGTCCTCGTTCCGCCCCTGCACTCACAAAACTCATTGAGAGCAATCTTGTCCTCATCTAAACTCCAAAACCCACATCTATCCGTCTCTCTCTCTGTCAGTCTATCCCTCTTTCTCTCCGCATATACAACCTTGATCTGCAAGCACAGCTCCTCCAGTGGTGTCCTCATAATTTCAGGTAATTGATAGGCATCCAACAGGCTGGCCCTCAGACCGTTGTACAGGTGATAGCATTTCCCCGGACACACTCTGGATATTTAGAGAAGAGAGTTGTTAGAGAGACAGAGAAGGAAAAGAGGTTAAATGTTTTACAGGCCCTGTGACAAGGGCTTACTTTAAAAATCAGTGGGATGAAACTGCACACAGTAAGCAGCTCTGCTAATTGGGCCTTGCTGCACTTTGATGTCAGAGCTATATAACAGAACAGACGTCTCAAGTAAAAGACTGGAAACAACCTGAGAGTGACTACACTTTGCCTTTCTGAGTGGCTACAGATGGGAAAGCAGGACAGAGTGGGCTTACAGGGAAGAGTGATGGAGAGCTCAGATGACAAATAGATGGGAAGCTAATTATCCCATATTGCATACCCAGAGGCACTAATATAAAGTATGCCCTCATTATATTATAATCTACAAATATACCCACGTGTAGACACAAACGCACACATAAACACACACACACACCTGCCAGCACGTCCTTTCCTCTGTTTGGCATTGGCCAAGCTAACCCACTCAGCCATCATGGTGCTGATGTTATTGCTGGTGTCAAAGTTGGTCTCCTTAATTTTGCCTCCATCTATCACATAAACAACATCATCGATGGTGATGCTGTGAGGAGCAGGCGAGAGAGAAAGGGGGGAAAACATAAGTTGCACATAATAATACAGAAAAAACACTTCAAAGTTAGGGCTGTTCGATATAACGATATATATCGTTTCATTTTACGCTATCGTTTGTTTGGTGGTGTCGCAAAAATAAACTGTTTGCGGCAATATTTTTTCATCGTTTTGATGGTCACTGTAGTGGCTATATTAATTTCTTAAAGTTCTCTCTTTCTCTTATATTTAATATAACCACACTATGGACGGACAAGCGCCTGGTTTTATGCGTTGTGGTTAGCAACAACGACGGTAACAGCATCGCGTGTCCGCTTGTTTACGTTCCACATAAACCTTTCACGATAAAGCTCAAGATCCTGTTGAGACTTTTCAAAATAAACTGAATCACGTGAAAGAGCAGATTATTTACGGATAAGAAGTAGAGAAGAGCCGCCATGTGCTAGAAAATAAACCTTAGACTCAAACGTTAGAACAGGCTTTTCCCCGCAGCACGCTGTGTAATAAATACTCACAAAGAAAACGGCGGCTGCTACAACTTATGTCTAAAAATGTATCGTTTCATACATCTGTTAAAACACTCGACTCCAGCTACATGAGGCGCAGCTGGAAACACTTCCCGCAAGACGAGCTGCCCGAGATTCACAGAATTTACAGAAAATGTTACATTTTTGTGATTTATATCATTATCAGGACGACAGAATTCTTATATCGGGATATGAGATTTTGGTCATATCGCACAGCCCTATTCAAAGTAGACTCTCAAGAATTCCTAGTTAAGACTCTTACACAATCACTTAGAAGTAAAAAATAAAATCCAGCCCTTTGGTAGGTTTCTGAGTAGACTTGTAGTCAAGACCGCCTAATCCGAGACCAAGACAAGACCAAGACCAAGTTGAGACGAGACCAAGACCGAGACAAAAAAGTCTTTAAACTGCAGCCAGATGCTATTCTATATACATATGCAGGACACCTTAAACTAGTTTTTTAATTAAGCAGCAAGGCAGAACAAAGTCGGGCCTGTATCAAGACACAGGGACTAAACCCCAATTCAACCAGACCCAGAACTGATCCGGAATTAAAACAGGACTACAACAGCAACCAAGACAGAACCAGAATCAGAACTAGATGATAGTAGCACTAAAAATCACCATAGACCTGCACTACACTTGTTTTTTTAATTCTACCAAAGTACAATATTTAGATTGAGAAAAGTTTATATAATTATTTAGCCTTGTTGTGCAAACAAGCCTGCATAACTTAATAAATATAGAATTTGAAAAGTAACAAATGGTATCTAAAAAGAAACACTAGGTACTAGATACATGTTCTGATGAGTTTTGGCAAACAACCATTTGACTAACATGTGTGTCTCAACTGCTCTTGTTCATCTCTGTTCTGTCGTCATTCTCTCTCTCCCTCTCTGTTCCTCTCTCTCCCTCTCTCTCCCTCTCTGTTCCTCTCTGTTCCTCTCTCTCCCTCTCTCTCCCTCTCTGTTCCTCTCTCTCCCTCTCTCTCCCTCTCTGTTCCTCTCTCTCCCTCTTTGTGCTGACAATCAAGCCAAACTCCAACATCATCAAATATACAGTTGAAACCAGATATTTATGTACTCTTCAGATAAAAACAAACACACTTTTTTAATTGTAACATCAAATCAGACTAAATGTTTATTTTTTTTAGGTTGATAAATATAAAAAACATATTTGTTAACTTTAAGAGTAAAGAGAGAAACTATCTGTATTTCTTAATTGCAAATGGCACCAAATTGTATTCAAAATTGAGCCACACTTATGGAGCTCCACAATTCTTTTCCTGGTGTTTTGCTCTGGATTTTTCCCATGTTACAGAAACAGGCTCTGTGTTTTGCCTTATATGCATCCACAGCTGTGCCACCAATTTACTCACATGGACTCTACTAACCAATCAGAAGCTTCTTCAGCTCAGAATGGAATCGTCTGGAGTTTTCTTATTAATTAACCATAAACTTAGTGTATATGTGCTCCTAAATTTGATGAAAGTGATTAAAATAGACAGCTCCCTCTTTTTATTCTGACATTTCACTAATTCAAAAGATATTTCAACATTTATTTATCTAAAACAAAAGTTTACTCTAAATTGATGTTTAACAGTAAAAAAAAGTTTGTTTTCTCCATAAAGTGTGTGTAAATATCTGGTTTCAACTGTGAATATACTGCTGTGTATTGAAATTCCTCTTGTTTTGCATAGATATACTGAACAACATCCAAAGCATAATATATAAAATAACATCTACCTGAGTTTTTTCTTTGAAAGAAGCTCCTTATGTCCATCGTTGTGTACATGAAACCGATTTAGAGAATTTAGATTTGAGAACGCAGGACCGAAACAGCGAGACCAAGACCGAGACCAAGACAAAAGTCCGTCGAGACCAAGACGAGACCAAGACCAAGTAAAAGTGGTCTCAAGACATCCAACTCTAGTTTAGAGTCTATATTTAGTTGAGTGATATGAGGGGAGTGCTGAGGGCAGGCAGCTCCTTAATTTGCTCTGCTCGTTTGTGTGAATGCAGCACTCTGAACGCATTAACAAATTGCCTGTCAGAGTTTTCTCATCCAAACCAATATGACAGTATTTGTAATCAATCCAAGAGATGTATGCTAATTAGCGCCAATCCAGTTGTAGGCCTCATTCCTGACTGAGGCACTGGCACACACAGAAAACAGATATATGATGGAATGTCATAAAAGGTCTGTGTTTTTTCTAAACCTTTAAACACTTTCCAAAGTACAAATGCAAAGACTGGACAAGCTTTTACCACAGACGCATGCTCTTACAAACCTGGTCTCAGCTATATTGGTAGCAATCACAATCTTTCGAACTCCAGGAGGAGGCCTTTTAAAAACCTGAGAAGAATTAGAGAGAAAAATTGAGCAGGACATTTGTGATATTGAAAGGGGACTAAAGTAGGACACAATTGACAAAGAGATGGTCCGAGAAAGAGAAAAAAGAGAAACTGAAGAATACTGACCTGTGTCTGGTTAACAGTTGGCATGAGGGAGTGTAAAGGGATGATAACAAACCGGTCTGAAATGCAACAGGACACAAAAGAAAAACTCAAATAAAACACTGACTGTCAATTTAAGATACAACTAGTCCATAGGCTGAACAATTATGTGTTCTATAACAACAAGTATCATGAAACCATGGAGAATTCTACAGCCACAGCACCCCTACTTCAGATAGGTGGAAGATAACGGATGAATGGAAAAATTGCACCACAAATAGTGACATAGTTGCTGGAGTCCACTTAACTTAAAATGACATACGTGTTTAGCAACTTTGTCTTTACATACAAATATACGCAAAATACAAGCAATCAGCAACCAGCGGAGTCAAGTCATCTTTTGCGAAAATATAAGCTGGAAGACAAATCTTT